TCCCTGCTGAGCAGGGAGCCCGACGTGGGACTCGATCCCGGGACTCCAGGATCATGACCTGAGCCGAAGGCAGTCACCCAACCAACTGAGCCACCCAGGCGCCCTGTGCCTTCGTTTTTAAACTGTGTTTCCAGGGTATCTGGCTGGCTCAGTCAAAAGAGCATGCAACTCTTTTCGTTTCGTTTTAAAGATTCTCATTTATTTATTTATTTGAGAGAGAGAACAGTGGGAGGGAGAGGCAGAGGGAGAAACAGACTCCCCACTGAACAGGGAGCCCTATTCAGGGTTCAATCCCAGGACCCTGAGACCATGACCCCTGAGCCACAGGCAGATGCTCAACCGACTGAGCCACCCAGGTGCCCTGAAGAGCATGCAACTCTTGATCTCAGGGTCATGAGTTTGAGCCCCACATTGAGGGTAGAGATTATTTAAAATACATACATAAACTTAAAAAAAAATAAAATGTGTTTCTTCTAGGCAGCATATAATTGGGTCTAGCTTTTATAATCCAATCTGACAAATCTGCATTTTAATTGGGGTGTTTAGACCATTTGCTTTTATTATGATTATTGATATGGGTAGGCTTGACTCTATTATCTTGCTGTTTTCTATTTTTCCCATCTGTTCATCATTCCCTTTATTTTGTTTGTTTTCTGGCTTCTTTTGGATCGACTGACTATTTTTGTGATTTCATATTATCTCCTTTGTTGGCTTATGTATGATTTTGGTGCTTAAATTATAGATATAAACATTAAGGATTAAGTCCTTTTGAATAATTGACTCCTTTACCACTATGAAATAATCTTTTTTATCCTGAATAATAGTCTTTGATGTGAATTTTACATTATCTGATGTTAATATATTCACTCACTACACCCTCCTTTTGATTACTTTTAAGCATTGTATGTCTCCATCAAAAGTGAAAATGTTCTCAGAGATGGTTACTTTTTAGAAACTAAATTTAGTTTTGTTTGCTTAAAAAATTTCATTCATCGACTTTAAAGATTAAGAATGCATATCTAATTATGTCTCCTAAGGCAAGAGAAACAAAAGCAAAAATAAACTATTGGTAGTACATCAAAATAAAAAGCTTTTGCACAGTGAAGGAAACCATCATCAACAAAGCAAAAAGGCAACCTACTGAATGGGAGAAGATATTTGCAAATGATATATCCAATAAGGGGTTAATATCCAAGATATATAAAGAACTTGTACAACTCAACACCAGAAAAGCAGTCAAATTAAAAAATGGGCAGAGGACCTAAATAGACATTTTCCCAAAGAAGACATACAAATGGCCAACAGACACATGAAAAAATGCTTTAACATCACTACTCACCAGATGAGACTACAATGAGATATTACCTTACACCTGTCAAAATGGCTAAAATCAGAAAGACAAAAAATAACAAGTGTTGGCAAGGATGTGAAGAAAAAGGAACTTTTGTGTATTGTTGGTGGGAATGTAAATCGGTACATCTACTAGGGAAAACAGTATGGAGGTTCCTCAAAAAATTAAAAATAGAAATACCATATGATCCAGTAATTCCACTACTGGGTATTTACCCAAAGAAAACGAAAACACTAACTTGAAGATATTTGCACCCCATGTGTATTGCAGCATTATTTACAGTAGCCAAGACAGAGAAGCAACCTAAGTGTCCACTGATAGATAAATGGGTAAAGAAAATATGATACACACACACAGGACACACAATGGAATGTTACACAGCCATAAAAAAAGGATGAGATCTTGCCATTTGTGACAACATGGATGGACCTAATACCTCTAGGGTATTATGCTAAGTGTTATAAGTCAGACTGAGAAAGACAAATAGCATATGATTTCACTCATATGTGGAATCTAAAAAACTAATGAATGAACAAACAAAAAGCAGAATCAGACCTATAAATACAGAGAACTAACTGATGGTTGCCAGAGGGAAAGGGGGAGTAGAAGCATGGGCGAAATGGGTGAAGGGGAGTGGGAGTTACAGGCTTCTAGTTATGGAATGAAGTCACAGGAATAAAAAGAATAGCATCAATCTAGTCAGTGGTATTGTAATAGCATTGTATGGTGACAGATGGTAGCTACCCTTGTGGTGAGCAGGGCATAATGTATAGACTTGTTGAATCACTATGTTGTACACAGGAAACTAGTGTAACATTATGTGTCAACTATACTCAAATAAAAAAATGTTTAAAAAGAATGGGTACCTGTGTGTTAAATAGAACAGATAATCAAAATATATTTCCAATTCCTTATCATGACTAGTTAAGGACAAGTTAAGGAGAAAATGGAGAAGGCAAAGACAGTGTTTAGAAATACTAGGATTATCTAGAGAAAGATTTTCTGCAGAAAGCCTTTCTTATGACCTTTTGGGATATTGCTGTTAAAAGCTCTTGGAGAGCTATTACAATTTTGGGTGAGTGTAGGCATGAATGGAAATCTCACTTCTACTTGTGTGGGCTCTGTTCTGAGTGAAATTAAGTCTGGAGCTGAATCTAGCCCATGGGACAGAGATCCCTCATCCCTAACCCAACATCACCGATTTCTCTTCTAGAATTGGCTTGCAAATGAAATTGAGGTTATGGTCAGTACTGAGGAAGCCAAACGCCATCTGAATGACCTTCTTGAAGATAGAAAGATTCTGGCTCAGGATGTGGCTGAACTCAAAGAAAAAAAGGAATCTGGGGAGAATCCACCTCCTAAACTCCGGGTAAGCACCCTCATGGAAATACATTACCAATAATCAGACTCTGCACTCCCCAGAAACCCTCACAACTTTGGAGGATTACTTTCCTTTTAGCACTTCATCCTCATTCCCACTGTTCTTTACAGAGGCGTACATTCTCACTTGCTGAACTACGTGGTCAAGTTTCTGAGTCAGAGGATTCCATTACAAAGCAGATTGAAAGCCTAGAAACTGAAATGGAACTCAGGTAATGTGACTATCTCTTAAGGCATTGTAATTTATAAAAATCTATGCCCGGACTCAAAATAGAACCTATCAATCCAGTGATTCAAACACTTGTTTTTCAAAGGCTTTGTGATGATAGAGAAGTGAGAAAACGTTAGCAATTTTTTTGAACCATACAGTTCACTAGACACGTTAGATACATTTTCTCATTCAATCCCTCCCTGTGAAGTATTATTATACCTTATGAGGTAAATATCACTCTTTTCTTTAAGATTTTGTTTTTTTATTTGAGAGAGGGAGTGAGAGGGAGAGAGAGAGCACATGATCTGGGGGTGGGGAGAGGGGCAGAGGGAGAGGGAGAAGAAGCAGACTCTCCTGCTGAGCAGGGAGCCCCATGCGGGACTCGATCCCAGGACCCAGAGATCATGACCTGAGCCACCGTAGGCAGATGCTCAACCAACTGAGCCACCCAGGTGCCCCTAAGTATCATTCTTTTGACTTTAAATGTCTAAACAGAAGTTCAGAAATCTTTTTTCATTATTTTTCTTAATTTTTATTTTTTTTTAGAGAGAACATGCAGGGGAGTGGGGCAGAGAGAGTGAGAGAATCCCAAGCAGACTCCCAAGCACAGAACTCAATGCAGGGCTCGATCCCATGACCCCGAGATCATGACCTGAGCCAAAATCAAGAGCTGGACACCAACTGACTGAGCCACCCAGGCGCGCCACAAGTTCAGAAATCTTAAGGAACGTGCTCAAGGTTATACAGAGCTGGGATTCAAAACCTGGTCTATCAGGGCGCCTGGGTGGCTCAGTTGGTTAAGCGTCTGCCTTCGGCTCAGGTCATGTCCTGGGATCAAGCCCCACATTGGGCTCCCTGGTCAGAGGGAAGCCTGCTTCTCCCTTTCCCTCTGCCTGCCACTCCCCTTGCTTGTGCTTTCTTTCTCTTTAATAAATAAATAAAATCTTTAAAAAAAAAAAAACCTGGTTTATCTAATTCCAAAACCCATGCTCTTTATGTTGCACCACATGTTAGTATCTCTGAAATGTAGAACTGGCTAAAAACAAAACTTGAGAGGAAATCAAGAACTGATGCCAGAAGAGCAACAGTACAGAAGGAAGAGAACATTAGGGATCATCAGCAAAGTAGATATAATAATGTATAAGTAAAGTTATCATGAGCACTAGATTAGTAAGTAAAGCACATAGCAAATACTTGGCATATTAGAAGTGCTCAGTGAACATTCTGTCTTTCTCCTTTTCTGACTCTAAGACCAGAAATTATGCTGCTCTAATCACTATTACTGTCTTCTAAGTATCTATGACATCTAGAAGGAATCAAACTTTCACAGAGATTTTATAGTGTCTTAGGATAATAGAATTGTATTGCCCAGAAGACCTTAAAGATCATTTAAATTTTTTTCTAGCAACATGTACTAGCTGTTTATCTTTGGATACGTCTATAAGTCACCCAGCATTTGAGTGTCTGCTTTGTGCTGCACTGGATGCATGCATTTGGGATATATAGAAAGTAGGTGGCATCACCCTTACTCTCAAGTGGAAATAGTATAATGCCACCGTGGTGTGTTGGAATCGTTTGTTAAAATTGCAGGAATGTTGTGAACCCTTGATAGCTTACCACATTTATACCACAGAAATAGCAAAAGTTACAAATCGGGTCTGATTTTATAAGTGCTGGTTGTGAAACATTCACCTGCACACCACTGTGCATAATTAAATGATTAAATGTTAGGCAGGTGCCAAGTAGAGAGCAATTAAACAGAACTGAGTTTAATCAAGGCAATTTCCCTAAAGTTGATGAGACATAAACTAAATTTTAAAAATACCTAAGGGACATGAATTGTCAGAGGAGACAGGAAAGGCCATGACAGACAACAATCCTGAAGTGTTCTAGCTTACCTCTTCCAAGAAGCCTTCCCTGACACTTCATCCCCCACTCATCCTCCTCTGTAAACCCTGTCAGAACTTACAGTAGTCAATCATGTATGTGGTACAGTGGATGTATGTTATCTTTATATTTATTAATTTTTTACATTTATTAGTCTTGTCAATATAAATTGATCATAAGCTTGTTGAAGGAAAGGACTATATATTAGACCAGAGTTCTCGAGGTATTGTCTGCAACTCCTGGGGGTCTCTGAGCAATCAAAATGATTTTTATAATAATATGAAGACATTTGCCATTTTTACTCCATCGACATTTGCCATGCTGGTGCAAAGCAACAGTGGACAAAAACTGCTCATACCATAGCTTGAATTAAAGCAGTGGGCACCAGTCTGTGCTAGTGGTCATTGTATACTTCACCACCACACACTCTCAGTTGTTTGTTTCTTTAAATCACTTTTACCTAAGAATGGCTTTGATAGGGACGCTTGGCTGGCTCAGTTGGTAGAACATGCAACTCTTGATTTCGGGGTCTTGAGTTCAAGCCCCACATTGGGCATAGCGCCTACTTTAAAAAAAAAAAGAATGGCTTTAATAAAGCAGTACAAATTGTTAATTTTATTAAATTTCAACCCTTGAGTTCAAATCTATTTAGTATTCTCTGTGATGGGACAGGAAGAACACGCAGAGCACTTGTGCTGTTTTGCTCAAGTCTGAGGGTTGTCCAGAGGAAAAGCACTTGTGCAATTGTTGGAGGTGTGAGCTCAATAGGCCTCTTTTTCCATGGAACATCCGTTGTATTCGAAAGAAGCACTGACAAACTATGGTTATTCAGGCTTGAGTACTTGGCAGGCATTTTCTCAAAAGTGAACAGAGTGAGCTTGTCACTTCAAGAAAAACAACTGGTAGTGTTTGTCACTAAAGATAGAATTGAGCTTTCAAGCAAAACTTAGAATTCTGGAAAACTTTTATCTGCCCCCCAAGGGTTTGACAGTTTTTCTTAACTTTTCTGAGGAGACCAGTGGTGATTACTAAGAGTTGTTTATTTTCTTTATATTATATAATGAAATGTGTTAACATTTGGAGACTCTGCATCACTCAACATTGTCCGAATGATATGTTACAGAATCATGTGTGGGTAAAAGAGCCATTCAGATTGCAAGATAGACCAACGGATTTTAATGTAAGAAAGTAAGAGAAGTTTACTTAGCAGTGGTTTCAGATGCCACATTTCAACTAATTTTTAAGGAACTACCACTTGTTGGGTTTTAGTGTGGTCTCAAAGAAGAATATCCACAGTTATCTGAATAGGCTATTAAAATGCTCCTCCTTGGTCCAACTACATATCCTGGGAGGCCAGATTGTCTTTATTAACATCAACCAGAACATGTCACAAAAGACTGATTGCAGAGGGAGATGTGAGAATCCAGCTGTCTTCTACTCAGTCAGATATTACAGAGATTCATAAAACTGTGACAGAGTCCCGCTCTTCTCACTAAATTATTTTGTTGTTTTAGAAAATGTATTTTTCATAAAGTATATTACAATGGATTATTGTTATTTTAAGTGAATTAATGAATGTTTAATTTTTGCTCAGTTTTACCTTTAATACTGTAAATATCTGTAGGTACAGTGTATATGAACAGAATTTCTCAGAGGTCCTCAATAATTTTTAAGAGTGTAGAGGGGTCCTGAGACTCTAAGATTTGAGAACTGCTATCTTAGGTTATTTGGGTCCCCATCTTCTTTTATAGTACCCTACATAGCAGTCTGTTTCACATATGCTGGCGTACTACTTCTCACTGGATACATTGCAAATTTGAGAAGGAAGCTGTTAATGAAACTGAAATACTATGGAAACCTTGCTCTCAGGCCATACTTGATCAGAAAGCATCTGTAAGCTATAACCGGGGTCAGGGTATCTAGTCTTCTTAGAAACTTCTCTGTTCTGTGGTAGGCACTTCAAGATAACCTCTCACAGCACTAGCCATTTGTCTCAATTTAGTATTTGGTTCCAGCAAAGAACATCTACCTGTTTGTCCTTTTTTTATTTGTTTTTTTAAAGATTTCATTTTACTCATTTGAGAGAGAGAAAGAGGGAAAGCACGAGCAGGGGCAGAGGCAGAGGGAGAAGCAGGCTCCCCGCTGAGCAGGGAGCCCAACACGGGGCTCCATCCCAGGACCCTGGGATCATGACCTGAGCCGAAGGCAGACGCTTAACCAACTGAGCCCCCCAGGCGCCCCAGTGCTTGTACATTTAAGAATTTTTTTCCTTCAGGTCTCCAACCTGACTCTTCTCCTTGCATAGTTGAGCCACTATATCACACTCTGAACTTACATGGCCTCAAGACAAAGTCACATTGCAGTCAATGCACTGCAACAGAAGCCCTACTAAAACAAATCTTTCCAAGTCCCACTATATGACCCATTTATTGCAACCAGTATTTAATAAAATAAAACCATTTGGATAGTCTCTCAGGTTCCTTTTGCATCAGGATTTGAGATACTGTATAAAATCCTAGCCAGATGATTCAGTCATTATTTTTCTTTTAAGATTTTATTTATTTGACAGAGAGAGACACAGTGAGAGAGGGAACACAAGCAGGGGGAGTGGGAGAGGGAGAAGCAGGCCTCTCACCGAGCAGGGAGCCCAAAGTGGGGCTCGATCTCAGGACCCTGGGATCATGACCTGAGCTGAAGGCAGACGCTTAACAGCTGAGCCACCCAGGCGCCCCGATTCAGTCATTATTTAAGTGCTATTTCACCAATACCTCCATCCATAAACCTATCTGAAGAGCCCCACAGAGCTCTCCTCCTTGGTGTTGAGGATGCTAGCAAAATAAGTCTCGCTGTTTCTTTCCTTGAAGGTGTGCTCAGATTGCTGACCTACAGCAAAAGCTGCTGGATGCCGAAAGTGAAGACAGGCCAAAACACCGCTGGGAGAATATTGCTACCATCCTGGAAGCCAAGTGTGCCTTGAAATATTTAATTGGAGAGGTAAGCATCACTATTCCTACCAGCAATTAGGGGTCTGGCTGGATAGGTTGAAATAAGATGTTAGCCGGCAATACTGTCGTAGCGTTATTGCCACTTTTCATGGTAGAAGCCACAATGACACTAGTATTAGAGAGATAGTTTTATGGGTAAAGGTTGGTGTGAACAAGTACAGGCCAGTCACATAGAAAAATATATGACTTGCAAGTTGATACCTGTCATGCCTGGTGTACAGCAAGTGCTCGATAAATGTCTGCTATTATTATTGGGAAAATAATCAGGATGCCATAGTGGGCCACTGGTTAAACATAAACTATTATACTGCACTACTTTTTTAAAACGCCTATGAGAGGGACCCCTCGGTAGCTTAGTTGGTTAAGCAGCTGCCTTCGGCTTAGGTCATGATCCTGGAGTCCCAGGATCGAGTCCCGCATCGGGCTCCCTGCTCAGCGGGGAGTCGGCTTCTCCCTCTGACCCTCCCCCCTCTCATGCTCTATCTCTCATTCTCGCTCTCAAATAAATAAAATCTTTTTAAAAAAAAAAACACCTATGAGATGTGTATTCAAAAAGTTTAAGATACAATCTAGAAAAGAGGAAACCTAATCATCTTTTGACATATATTCATCTTAAGGAAAGTACATCTTCACTGGCTTTAAAATAATATATCGCGGCACCTGGGTGGCTCAGTCGTTAAGCGTCTGCCTTCGGCTCAGGTCATGATCTCAGGGTCCTGGGATCGAGCCCCGCATTGGACTCCCCGCTCTGTGGGAAGCCTGCTTCTCCCTCTCCCTCTCCCACTCCCCCTGCTTATATTCCCTCTCTTGCTGTCTCTCTGTCTCTCTGTCAAATAAATAAAATCTTTAAAAAATAATAATAATAATATATCATTTTACGTTGTCACTGAGGCATCTTCACTTTGAGACAAGCATACAAACTCCAACTCTGGAAGTTTGAGCGATGTTGTCCTTTATATGTTTTTGGATGGGGTTAGCAGATTCGTCCTACCAAGTAGGAAATCCTGATTAGTCTTGTGAACACTGGTATTTATGATGTTCCCCATGTGGGCTAGTAGAGACTATAAAACCAGGCCAGCATAGGATATCAGTCTAGCCTGAAGAGCCAGACCTACAGCACCAGCTAACGTGTCTACTAGTTTCAATACGCGAATTCAGACGTTCTGACATAGGACATAATTGGCCATAAGGGTGTGTCCTATGGATTCCTCTTCAGAATGAAGAAAGTCTTAAATATCAGAATTTGGAGTTGTCAGATACTGTTTGTGTTCAGTTCATTCTTGCCCGGAGACAGAGCAAGAGATTGAATGACCTTAGCCATGGCTCCTAGCTCGAAGAGCTCGATTTCAACAGAAATATGGACTCTTGGCCTGGGTGGCGTTGTTCCTATTCACTGGTAGAATCCATGTGACATAGGAAAAAAAATGGACTCTGGACATGGAGGAACTTTTCTCAGTCCGTTTCAGGAAAGCTGACATTCTCCTGCCGAATGAATGGGGAAAGGTGGCCATTCTCCAAATAAACTCATCTTCTTTTATCCCTTCCAGCTGGTCTCCTCCAAAATACAGGTCAGCAAGCTTGAAAGCAGCCTGAAACAGAACAAAGCCAGCTGCGCTGACATGCAGAAAATGCTGTTTGAGGAACGAAATCATTTTGCCGAGATCGAGACCGAGTTACAGGCAGAGCTGGTCAGGGTGGAACAGCAGCACCAAGAGAAGGTAAGCTCTGGCAGGCCCAGAAGCTATACTGAGAAACAGAGGGTCATTGCTTTTTGTTGTTAGTTTTGAAAAGACAGTGAGGGGTGGGGTATGAAGTTGCCTTCGGAAGCCTGTGTAGTCGTCTTTTCCAAATTTTGCAAACAAGGAACCTGAAAGAAAGAAATTACTTGTCAAAGCTGACACACAAACGGTGGCTCTTAGCCTCCAACTTTGATAGCAAGATTAACATCGAGGCTGCGCTTACTGCTTCAAGCCATGAGACGGAAAGATAACAGGGATCTCTAAGTCAGAGGACTCCTCTGGGTCACCGCTTGGACTAAGCCGGAATTCCTTTCTCCTCTCATGCCGTTGGTCCCATTGGGCTGTGTCTTTCTCTAGGTGCTCTACCTTCTCAGCCAGCTGCAGCAAAGCCAAATGGCAGAGAAGCAGCTAGAAGAGTCAGTGAGTGAGAAGGAGCACCAGCTGCTGAGCACACTGAAGTGTCAGGTATGATAATGGGGCGAGGGTCTCCAGAGATGGGGTCCGCAGGCCCGGCTGCGAATCTTGACTGATTTACACCATTGTACTTGCAGCGGAGAGTAACTACTGAAAAGGGGTTTATAATAGTAACCTCTATGGCCTTTGGGCCCTATTTGATCAATTTAGGGGTATTTAGAATGTAACCACGCATAGCATAACCTCCTTTTTGGTACGGAAATGACATTACGTACTCCACACCAGACTTTGAAGCCTCCTGGTTCCTTGCCTCAGCCCTGAGCTCCAAAAGGGTTGAGAAAGTTCAGTCATCCCATAGAATCCTAAGGGCATTCAGCTTTCTCTTTTTGAGCCTGTTCTGAGCTGAGACCTGACATGTTTGTAAAGTGCCTGGGGTCTAAATATCTCCCAGAGCCTGGGAACACCACACCCCTTAGCAGCGTGTTGGAACACTATTTTGTCCAACTTAGAATCCTTTTTTTTCTGAAGCACCAGTCTCTAGGGTTTCCTTGGCACCTCCCATCAAAGACATAACCAAACTAGTTAAAGTCATATGCACGAATTGTGAATCTGGTTGTCTTAAGTGCCAGGAAGTTTAATCAGGGTTATTAGAGTAGCAAAAAAACTGCCTAGTCTGTGTTTAGAAGGGTAAACAAAAGCATCTGTAGACTTGAAAGAAACAAAGCTAACTGTCCATGTGGGTCTCTTAATCAGCATCCTGATGTGAATGCATAAGGGACATAAGGCTTGAGAATAGAAGAGAATAAGGAGAGCATTTAGGGCAGAGACATGGTTCCTCTGAGTGCGGTCAGGACCGCTTGGGAGCGTTGGGGTAGAAGTGGCATTCAGGACACCTAGCACTGGTGGGAATCAGGCATTTTTCTGGGTGCCGGTGCCCGCTGTGCAAAAACCATCTGCTCCAGCAACTTGGCAGCACTATGTTTTCATCTATGTGAGTTGTTTGGTAACCCACATGTAGTGCCGAAAATAACCCCACCTATCACTGCACTATCTGGAAATAGGATGAAGAACTTGAGAAGATGCGAGAAGTGTGCGAGCAAAATCAGCAGCTTCTCCGAGAGAATGAAATCATCAAGCAGGTAATACGGCTTCCTACCCACTTTTAATAAGCCCTGGGAGACCCTGTTGCAACTGAGGGCAGCTCTTGGGAGCAGCCCCGAGTATGAAGAGTCGGCTCTATTTTTGAGGTCTGTAGTGACTTTCCGTATGATTTGGTCATGTGCATTTCAAAATGGTATAAATACACATTTTTTAATCTGCTCTTTTCTGAATCTAATACTGATCTTCTAAAGTGAGAGTCCTTCAGCCTGCTTTACTGTGGTTTCAATGCGGCTAACTTAGGAATCCTTATGTTTTAGCCATTAACACTCCCGGAAGCTGCCCTGCAGTATACATTGTGCATTCTCTTTTCAAACAGAAACTGACCCTCCTCCAGGTAGCCAGCAGACAGAAACCTCATCTTCCTAAGGATACCCTTCTATCTCCAGACTCTTCTTTTGAATATATCCCACCTAAGGTAAACTGCTCAGTGCTGGTAATACCTTCGTGTGGCCACGGTTGGGGGTGAGTGTGCTAGATTCGTCTTTTAGAAGAGGTTGAGTGAAAAATCCCAAACCCCAGGGCGCCTGGCTGGCTCAGTCAGTAGAGCATGCGACTCTTGATCTCAGGGTTGTGAGTTCGAGCCCCACATTGAGTGCAGAGCTTACTTAAAAATAAAATCTTTAAAAAATCCCAAATTCCAGCATCTCCGTTTGCCTTGGAGTCCCAAATAAAACTACAGTACACTCTTGAGGAAAATAGGCATTCTCCCTCCCCAGAAGGCTGACTTTTGGCCATGTAGAGGCATTATGTAACAACGGAGGAGGAGCAGGAGAAAAGAGCAGTGTTCAGCTGTCCATCCAAAGATACTTATCTCATCATATCATGAGTCCTTCTTTCCTCCCTCAGATTGCTCAGCCTCTACCCCTTCAGTTTCCATCCCTTCAAAGACTCGGTAAGGCCAAAGGCTATACAGCAGAATTAATTCTGACTGGGAAAGCCAAGGGGCTATATTTGAGGGAGTCCAAAATCTCGGCTCTGAGAAGATAGCTGGCAGCAGCTACTGGGAAGATTTGATCTACGTGTGTTTTTAAAATTTTATTAACTAATCATTCCAAACCTTTCTTCTTAGCCAAAACCTTCCCGTTTTAAAGAAAAGTTCCTGGAACAAAGCATGGACATCGAGGATCTAAAATATTATTCAGAGCATTCTGTGAATGAGCCTGAGGACAGTGCTGGTGATGATGACGATGATGGGGATGATGAGGAATGGAAGCCAACAAAATTAGTTAAGATGTCCAAGAAGAACATTCAAGGGGTAGGAGGCAGCTCTCATCTCTGTCAGGGGTTCTAGTCCTTGGTCTTCACTGCCAGTGGGGATTTGCTGGCTCCATGCCCTGCACCTGAGCCCCTCGGTCCCATTCAAAGGCATTGGCTCCACTGAGGAGTCCTTGTTGGGCCAGCTCTGTATGGAACCTGGGGCTAGCAGAGAAGGCTGCCTGCGTGCACAAGATGGCTCTCTTTGTGTTTTTAGGTTCTTATGAGGTCTGAACGGGTGGTAGTATTCTGTACCATTTCACTGACGCTGGTTCCAAAGCGATCATAATAATCCTTCATATTTTTATAGCACTTTGCAGTTTATAAACCATTCTCATATAGATTATCTCCTTTTTTCATCACAAAAAAAAATCCAGTGAGGTATTTATTGTTTGCATTTTACAGATGGATTTGAGACCCACTGGAGGAAAATGACCTTGGTCAAGGTCATAAAACCAAGAACAGTCAGGACTTGAAACCAAATATTCTGACTCCAAGTCCAGTTTGTTTCTACCATGTCATGGTTCTATCAGTAAAAATTGCAGACCAGAAGCTAAGTGGGAACTTTATCTTCCTTGCCTCATAGAGTAATTTTGCTCCCTAGGCTAAGGGGCAATAGGAATTACAGAAAGGGCTAATAATTAAGATCCAACACACCACGTTAAGGTTAGTTAGGAACAGAGTGATTTGAGGCATGCTTTATTTACTTCCACAATGATAGTCCTACGTAATTATCAAACCTAGATGTTTTATGTTGAAACATTAACTTCCCAGGCACTATAGTTCACCACTACCCCAACTGTGCCCTGTGGCCACATCCCACTAAAGGAGGACAGTTCATAAAGGATCCTAGCTGGCTTCCTGGAAGGTTCACTCGATTTTGTTAGCTGCTTGAGCACCACATAGGGGACTGAGCCTTAGAAGGCCACAACACTGGAGCGAAGCAAGTCGTGAGGAATAGCTAGTCATGGTGGCATTAAATCATTTGGAAAAAGTCATCAGGAATGTGACATATCACATGCTCTTAGTGGGAGTAAGAGCTCATCCTTAGCCTCAGAGCTTATAATCTAGTGGGAAAACCAGGCAAAGAAATAGAAGCATACCAAAGAACCTCAGCATATTCATCTCAGGGAGACAGACTGAGGGATTTTTAAGAGTGACTGTAAGGCCAAACCAAGTAGATACAGTTTAGGAAGATACCATAAAAGAGACGACTATTACTGCATCATGAGACAGAAAGGGAAATACGGTCTTGGAAGCGAGTGGGAGGCCGCTGCTGGCACATTGAATGGCATATCGCAAAGACTTAGTTGTAGAGGACAGGGGGTTGGGAGACTTACAGAAAATGGGGCAGAACATGTCTGACTTTCATTCACTTATTCAACAAACGTTTACGGACTCTACTATGACCCAAGTAGAGAGCATGAGCTGAATGTAGATACGACGGTCAGCTAAGTAATAGGAAGCAGAGTTGAGAAGTACACACAGAAAAAATGGTAGAGGACCTAAAACCCCTGGGAAGACGTGTCCAAATGTGAAGCAAATATGTGTTTACTTGTGCTCGAAGCAAGCTTACTGTGTGTATCATAGCAATGTTGCTCCACGTGTAAAAGGGAAATAGAGGAATCTAGTAAAAATTGCAAGTATGTATTGGCTATCAATGATAAAATCTATGTCTAAAACCATGAGAGATTATTCTTTTCTAGGCTTTTCCCCGATTTAATAACTTGAGAAGAGAATATAACTGGGCATTAAGGGGAACAAATTGGCACAGGATCTAGTTTCTCCCTTTTAGCAACCTCAAAGTACATGGATGCTATGTATTATGTATAGCAGAGAGCTATCTGCTCTCTGATCTGTCTGCTTGTAGACACAGTAGCTGGAGACCTTAATGCTTTGCACGAAGGCCATCCTATCTGTAGTTCGAACCCAGCTGAAATGGGCTGGCGTTGTCACGAGATGGCTCTAAAGGAGACTGCAGCAGTCACCAGACTAATGACCCAGCTAGAGCTAATGCTGAAAAAGTAGGCTTCCTCACTCAACCATGTTTCCTATATGTACTAAGGAGATGCTGAGGGACAGGCCACGTGCTATAGTAAAAGTAATAGCTTTGAAGCCAGGTAGACATGGGTTCTAGTCTTGAGTTTGCCACTGGCTAAGTTGGATGACCTGAAACAGGTCACTTAATCTCCCTAGGCTTCGAATTCCTTACCTATGCAATGATGGGATTAGACTGGAATCAATGATGTGCAAGGTCCCTTCCAGCACTAATATCCTGAGTCAAAGTAACAGTCAAAGTTGTATAAATATGTTTTTTTAATTAATTAAGGAATTTTAATAATACTACCTATATATGGTGTTTTATGGTGTCTGAGTAGTTAAAAGAAGGAATATATGCAAAAGCACTTTGTGAAGAAGAAAATATCATGCAGGTATTGTTACTAAAGCACTGTAAGCATTTTACAAATATTCTCATTTGTCCCCTTTGGCAGAAAAGAGGGAGCAGGAATTCTTATCTCTTCCCTTGGTGATGAAAGAATGGAGAGGAACTTGAGTGAAGTGACTTGTCCAAGGTCATACCAAATATTAAATATAGGACCAGAGCCTGGGTCTCCTGTCATAGTCTGGGTTTTTGTTTTGTTTTGATTTTGGGGTTATTTGGGGGGGGTTGGTGCAAAAAAGGTGAATTTATTAAAGCACGGGGACAGGACCCTTGGGCAGAAAGAGCTGCAATGGGGTCACGAGGAGTGGCCCATTATATACTTTCAAGTTGGGAGGGGGTTAGGGATAGCATAAGTCTCTAAGGAATTTTGGAAGCCAGGTTTCCGGGACCTTGAGGGGGCTAGCTATTGTTGGGAAAAGATCATTTATTACCGTCTAATAAAACCTCAGTCATGAGACCCTTCAGATGTATCTCGGTGGGCCATATGCTTGGGAGATGATTGCTAACCTGTATCTTGAGGGGTTTAGAGAAAAAGGAAATTTCTAAATTTCTTTATATGTTAAAGTAGACTTACAGGATCGGGGCAGGCGGTGCTCAGGCTAGGATGGCCTTTTGCCCTTAGCAGAGTGTCAGCATCGAGACAGTTGAGTCCCTAGAGGAAGGTTACTCTGCCTGTTTCAAGGACTTGTCAGTGGGCTGTAGGTAGTAAGGAAATTTAATAATTTTTCTTCTGCCTTTGTTTCCCACATCATCCCCCTCTAACAGTTTTGACCCTTAAATCTTTAAAGTTGTTGAGGGTGAAGGTCTCATCTTCTGTAACTTCTTCCTGCTGAATAGGGGCGTAGAGATGCCCCTACCTATGGGCCAACATTGGTCAGTTGGGGCGTATATAGATAGAGGAGTTACGAAAGGCAGAGGCAGCTGAATCCGAGGGAGACTGCATGTGTGGCTCTTCCCGAGTCATGGTCTGATGTTCTTCATGTTAAAGTTTTTACCAGATCTTATTCTCAGATACAGTGTAACACTGAAATCAGTGCCAGAAGAATTACAGACTCTAAAGCAATAGTTCACAGCCCTGGCTGCACATTAGAATCCCCAAGAGAGCTTTTCAACATAGGGAGCCTGGGACCCCACCCCCAGATATTCTGATTTAATTGGTCTGAGGTGGGATCTGGTCTTTTTGAAAAGCTCTCCAGGGATTTCTTATGTGTAGCCAGGGTTGAAAACCACTGGCTTAAAGGAACCCCAGAGATCTTTCAGCTCTACTTTCCACTCTATATAAAGAATCCCTCTATTATAGGTTGTCAGCTGTGGTGTTGGGCCATGCTGGTGGGCTGCCAGCTGTTGTGACACAACACACACACACACACACACACACACCCTGTGTACCACATACATATATATTTGAGGTCATGCCCAGGGCAAGGTCATGTTCCCTCTCTTACATTCTGATCTGGGTCCTGGGTGTAAAAGAGAACAGGATGAAGTTAAAGCTAGTGAAATGGCATTCATGTGATGAATACATCTGTCATGTGTGTCATGACTGTTCCATAATACCACTACCAGGTGTTTAGCCTCTGCCTGCTTGAAAACTTCTAGTACTGGGAAGCTCACAGTCTCATAGGGCAGCCCATTGTAGTCCACTAACTGTTAGGAGGTTGTTCCTTTTGAGCCAAAATGTACTATGCTATAAATCATCCCAATGGGGGGTGACTGTGTAGAAGTCTTAATTGTTGTTCCTTATGGCAGCCCTTCAGATACCACTCTCATTCTATTATCCCTTTAGATAAAATAGAGACACATCGACAGGATAATAGAGTGTTTTGGAAGCATTTAGATGAATTTATGAATGTCAGAGGACCATACCCAGGCTGTTGCAGTCAATGGATCAATGTCATCTTGGTAAGGTGTCTCTAGGACATGTCACAGAACTCTGTCTTTTGTTCTGTATTCAAAGAAGCAAGATTTTTTTTATTATAATGTCCAGTATTGGCAAGGGTGACTAATGTGGGCATTCCTGTCTATTGCTATCAGGTATGCAAATTGGGGTACTTCTGGAAGGCAACTTGAAAATATGTATCAAAAATCTGGGGCACCTGGCTGGCTCAGTCAGTAGAGCATGTAACTCTTGATCTCAGGGTTATAAATTCAAGCCCCACGTTGGGTGTAGAGATTACTTAAAAATAAAAATCTTTTGGGGCGCCTGGGTGGCTCAGTCATTAAGCGTCTGCCTTCGGCTTGGGTCATGGTCCCAGGGTCCTGGGATCAAGCCCCACATCGGGCTCCCTGCTCAGCGGGAAGCCTGCTTCTCCCTCTCCCACTCCCCCTGCTCTTGTTCCCTCTCTCACTGTGTCTCTCTCTGTCAAATAAATAAAAATCTAAAATAAATAAATAAAATAGAAGATAAAAATCTTTTTTAAAAAAAGTACGTATCAAAAATCTTAAAGGGCGCCTGGGTGGCTCAGTTGGTTAAATGACTGCCTTCGGCTCAGGTCATGATCCCGGAGTCCCAGGATCAAGTCCCGCATCGGGCTTCTTGCTCAGCAGGGAGTCTGCTTCTCCTTCTGACCCTACCCCCTCTTGTGCTCTCTCTCTCTCTCTCTCAATTAAATAAAAAAAAAATAAAAATTTTTAAAAAAATCTTAAAAATGCTCCTGTCCTTTGGCTCAGTAAGTTTACACATAGGAATTTATACTGAGGAAATAGTCACTGGTGCGTAAAAAGATGTATTCATTCAACAAAACTTTTGTGAGCACCTAGCTATATATCAAGCACTGTTTCTAGGTGCTGAGGATACAACAAACAAGACAGGTAAGATCCTTGGCCTTATGAAACTAAACACATTCTTACGGAGAGAGACAGCACAATGACCAGAAAAACAAATAAAATTATTTTTTTTTAAGATCTTATTTATTTGACAGAGAGAGAGCAAGAGAGCACAAGCAGGGGGAGCAGCAGAGGGAGAGGGAAAAGCAGGCTCCCAGCTGGGTAGGGAGCCTAACACGGGGCTTGATCCCAGGACCCTGGGATCATGACCTGAGCTAAAGGCGGATGCCTAACCAACTGAGCCACCCAGGTGCCCCCAAATAAAGTAATTTTTAGATGATGATAAGAGATAAACAGAAAATATAGTGAAGTCATTGAGAATTCTGGGGTAGGAAAAGAGTTCTTTAAAAGAGCGCTTGGGGGGGCGCCTGGGTGGCTCAGTTGGTTAAGCCACTGCCTTCGGCTCAGGTCATGATCCTGGAGTCCCGGGATCAAGTCCCACATCGGGCTCCCTGCTCAGCAGGGAGTCTGCTTCTCCCTCTGACCCTCTTCCCTCTCGTGCTCTCTATCTCTCTCATTCTCTCTCTCTCAAATAAATAAATTAAATAAATAAATAAATAAATAAAAATAAAATAAAATAGCGCTTGGGAGAGGCCTCTCCAAGGAGGAGGTACTTAAGCAAAAAGATCTCAGCAAAGTAAAGGAGCAAGTCAGGGAAAGAACCAGAGGGAAAACATTTCAGGAAAAGGGAACAGCAAATGCAAAGACCCCTCAGGCAAGAATGGGTTTGGTTTATCAAGGAACACCTGAAAAGGCCAAGGTAGCTGGACAGTATTGAAAAGTGGGAGAGAGTAGTCAAGGTCAGGCCAGAGGAGTAGTTAGGGGCCAGATCATGGAGAGCCTTGATAGCGGGAAGATTTAGATTGTGTTTATGTAGCAGGAATCTATGGTAATGTGATTGGTAATAGGAAGCAATTTCTTTGAAAACAATCTTAATGTCTAACATTAGGGGGCTCGTTAAATAAATGGACATTTCTACAAGAAGAAACTACAGGTATTAAATATTTAAAATCATGGTTTCAATTTTCAGATTTTTAAAGTGATATATATTAATCTCAAAATCAGGAAAAAAGATATTATAATGGTTTCTTTTACCTTTACAACTAACAGAACGATGATGGTTGTTCTATGAGAGAGACTTAAGGGCTTGTATTTAACTGTAAACTCAGTATGGATTCACGAAGATAGGACAAAGGAAAAAAAGCTACTGTGATTTTTAGGCCTCATGAACAAGACCGTTGGGTCTCCAACACAAGGGAGTTGTGTTCTGTCAGTCTACCTCACAATGGCCACACCAAAATTAGAAAGTTAATGTTCATTTCTGGATGTCACAATTAAGGATGAACTTGGACAAACTGGTGTATGACCAAGGTGGTGAGGATTCTTGGAAACCATGTCATGTGGTGGATCGTTGAGGAAGCTATGTATATTTAGCTTTGAGAAGATCTGGACAGAGGGGGACTGGGTAGTGGAAATTATGTTCAGGGTTTGAACAAGAATGCTGTGCAAGTGTGGTTAAACTGATTCCTTATCATTCCAGATGGCAGAACTGGGTCCTGTGGTCAGAAGTTATATAGAAACTATCCTCGTCTCAGGATAAATAGAGCTTCAGATAATTAGACCAGGGACATTAGAGAGGGGCTTCATACATCAAATCAGGCTCCAGACGGTCGCCAAGGTCTCTTCTGGCTCTAATCCATCATTCTGTGAGCTCTGCCACCTATGTTTGTTCCAAGCCAAACTATCCCCCCTTCTTCCACCATTTCTCTTATAACATTGCTTCCTATAACACTGGTCACCTGCCTTTTGTTTTGTTTAATGTCCTCTTTATTAAACACATACACACACTAAACTCCCAAATGTGTGCACGGGGAAACATACCTACTGATTAAGTGGGTTTAATACATGGAAAGCACTTATAACAGTGCTATATAATAAGATACCACTTATATAAAGTTTCAAAACATGTAAGATCATTCCTTCTATTTTTTAACGGAAACTCATATGTGGTTAAAAAAAAAAAAAAAAAGACCTGCATGGGACTAATAAACACCTAATTCAAGAGACTTTGCCCTGGGGAGAGAGGGAGGTGAATGGGATCAGGAAAGGGTAGGTAGGAGGCTTCAGTTATATCTGTATTTTAGTTATTAAGGGAAGAGTGAGAACATGAGTGGATTTTGTCATTGTTGTCTGTGCTTTTATATACCTGAAAAAAATTATGATGCCCTCATTACGGCACGTTCTATCAAATGGGGTCTGACTGACCCAGAGTCTAGTGAAGCAGTTGCTCCCCATGATTTCCAAACAAGGGCGTTGTGTTGTGTCCATCTACCTCCCAATGGCCATACCAATATTAGAAAGTGATGCTCATTTCTGGATGTCGCAATCAAGGATGAACTTGGACAATTTCTGCCTGACTGATCTGCTTGTTGACAGCCATTTCACACTGTTGACTCATGGAGCTTGCTGACACCCCACATCCTTAGGCTCTTTTTGCACCAAGTACTTTTAAGCCAGCTCGCCCCCCCCATATTATATTTATATGACTGATGTGGGGAGAACCCAGATGCCTTAGAACTTCTCCTTCGACTTGCAGCCCAGAATTCCAGCCTGTCAAAATATTTTTGAATTGTGATTCTGTTATCTTACTTATTAATCATCCTTCCAGTTTTGTGCCATTGTTAACAGCCAATAAACATGCCTACCCTGTAGACTGGTTATGAGAATCAAATGAGATTTGGTATTAATATATATGAAAGGACTCTGGAAATTGTAAAGTGCTATACAAATGTAAATGATTTTATTTCATATCCTCAGTGATTTATTAAAATGTCAAATGATTAAACTGCTGAGGACGTAGCCCAGGCTGACACTGAACAAAGTGCAGAAATGTGAGTTGGGTAAAAGTACCCCTGGGTAGAGCTAAAGATATCAAGCAAGTATACTCAGCCCTTATACACACCTATAACCCTACTACCGTCGCTTTGACCATAAATCATCGTGAGGGCACCTGGTTGGCTCAGTGGTTAAGTGTCTGCCTTCGGCTCAGGTCATCATCCCGGAGTCCCAGGATGGAGCCCCGCATCAGGCTTCCTGCTCAGCAGGGGGGTCTGCCTCTCCCTCTGCCTCCGCTCCTCCCTCTGCTCTTCCCCTGCTCATGCTCTCTTTCTCACTCACTCTCTCTCAAATAAATAAATAAAATCTTCAAAAAAAAATCATCGTGAGAGGCTTTGCCAGTTACCCTGCATTATTCTGGTATCCATCCAATCTGTCTTTCAAGTATACAATCCAAACAAGAAAATGGATTTGTCTAGCATGACGTGTGGTTAGGCAACCTCTTGTGGTTCTGCGGATCACTGTTTCCCTAAAGAAGAGGGGACCGAGGAGAAAGAAGCTTGGCCAAGTTTCCGTTTCCATTTTCCGCTTTCCATGTCTTCTAAAAAGGCTTGCAAATGAAGGGGAGGCACTTTACGTTGGTCTTCTAAGCCTTTCAGTGACGTGTGTTTCTCCAAACCTGGTTTTGCAGTGTTCCTGCAAGGGCTGGTGTGGGAATAAGCAGTGCGGGTGCCGGAGACAGAAGTCGGACTGTGGCGTGGACTGCAGCTGTGACCCCACAAAGTGCAGGAACCGCCAGCAAGACAAGGTAGGACCGGCTCTGTTGGCCCTCGCCATCCCTTTGGGCCTCCCCCCCGGTTCCCGCCACCCTAAAGCCTGGCGTCTCCTGCACAGCTCCCCTGACCCTTCTCGTGCCCTCTGCAACCAGAGCCATTTCACTTCTCGGTCCTTCTTGCTCTCTGCTAGCCTTGTCGACGTAGCCCCTTCAGAAGCCCACAGCCCTTTGCGGGAGACTTCCAGATATGCAGCTCCCCATGCCCAGCCTTGGCTGTGAAGTTTGGGTACAGTTTCTGAGGCCGGAACAAAGAACAGGGAAGCAGGCAACTACAGGCACATAGACATGCAGGACCAAACTAGTCCAGAGGCTTAGCTGGAACTCTTAAGGGCCACGTGGCAGCTTCCAGGAAGGAACTTAATCTTTCTGACATCTTGAGACAGTTGCTTAGACCCTCTCCATGGGAACCAACTACCCCGTGGCTCTAGGAAAAGACCCACAGGAGCTTGGTCTTTCAAATAGTCACCGTTGTGGGCCAAGTTAATTGTAGCTGCCCTCCTTATATTGCTCCCGGGAAGAGCAAACTCAGGGAAACAGACTGCCTTACACCTCCCTGTGCCCATGGCATAAGCTTGTTCCTCTAGCTCTCTCTGTGATCTACAACAACTCTAGCAAGCTTAGTATAATGATCCTCCACTGTGCGTTTCTTGAACATCTGCACATGAGCAGTTCTGCCCTGGGTCTTCTATTAAAATGACTTCCGAGGCAGGTAGTCATTAGAGGACTAACGTGGCAAGTTGGGAGTCAGGCTGAGAATCGTAGAAGTAGCAGGAACCTTAAGGATTCTCTGTCCCCGTGGTTCTTCCAGTTTAGGTTCCGGAGTCCTTCGGTGGCTCCGTGGATGTGCTTCTTGAACGGACGACCATGGCCTGGCTCAGTTCGACCCCGTGTCGATCAGAGCAACTTGCTCTCTACTTGTTTTTTCTATACCGGGCTTCCTCTGAGGATGTCAGTTGTCAAACCACTTATCTAGGCCCATGCCCCCATTATACGGGGAAGGAAAGTGAGACCCAGAGATAGGCTTAAGTGACTCACCGAATATTACCCAGCTGGGCATGACAGCTAAGATTAGACCTCGGGCTTCCTGACTCTCAGTCCGCTTCTGTTGCCATGACAACAGGCTATAATTCTAATCCAAGCTCTACCACAGAGTCGCCCTGTTACCTAAGTAACTTTTCACTCTTGGCCTTGAGTTCCCTTCTCCGAAAGGAAGACTGATACAGACAACACCCTGTAGACATGCTAAAAAGGATAGTGCAGATTACAGAGGACGAAAAACGAATCAAAGAAATGACCACGGCTTGGCCTTGTTTTAAACGCTGCTTTGTGATGTCCCCTCAGCCGCTCCCCTACCTGGTCCTTTGCCTTCAGAGGCTGCCTTCAAGCATTGCAACGGCAAGAAACCGCAAGCAGAGTCTCCCTGAGACTTGCGTCGACTGACCGATGAGGGCCTCAGAGCTGGTACCTCACTGGTGAAAGGGGAGCAGGCTGATTTTTGTAACCTCCGTAGCTGAACTTCTCATATGCCTGTCTGATTCTCAGGATGGCCTGGGCACTGTTGAGCGGACCCAGGATTCCGAAGGCTCTTTCAAACTGGAGGATCCCACAGAAGTTACCCCAGGATTGAGCTTCTTTAACCCTGTCTGTGCCACTCCCAACAGCAAGGTAGGTGGGCTAAAGACCGGCATTTCTGACTGTCTTAGCATTCATCTCTGCATTAGCTGTGACAGAGTGCGGTGGAAGGAGACGGGGTAGAGGTATAATCAGCTTGCTGGGAGGTGGGAATCAGGCATAGGCCAGAGTCTTTTTTTTTTTTTCAAGAGACCAATCTTGGGGGATACCGCATACTACAACGTGCTGAGCATTTGTAGCGGCAAAGGCTGGGCAGAACCTCTGCCCCAACCCAAGATCGCTTCATACCTGTCTCTGCCCTTCCTAGCTCCTGAAAGAGATGTGTGATGTGGAGCAGGTGCTGTTAAAGAAGACAAACCCAGCTGCCTCCTCCCTTGGCCTTGCAGAATTGAAACACGGAGCAACAGAATCCCAAGAAAATAAAGCTCCAGGGAAGAAAAAGAAACGAGCTCTGGCCAGCAATACCAGTTTCTTCTCTGGCTGCTCCCCTATTGAAGAAGAAGCCCACTGAAGTTGGACTTATCATCTCTGCCCCTATCTGGCTTGGGAGATGCTTTCAGGTTGCAGCCAGAAGCAGTTTCTTTAATGACTCCTCTGGATTTCAGGGTTCTTGCTGTTGGAAAAAAACAAAGGGGGGACAGCATGTTACCACAAGGGAGGAAATCTTTGTTGGATGTTAGCCCTTACTCTCCAGCCCCCTAGCCCCAGACTACTGCTCTCTCTTCTCCAGAAAGGTGCTAAGCCACCTGCTGAAGAAAGAACCAACTGACCTTCTTGATGACTCATCAGGAGCCAAACCTCAGTACAATCTAGCTCTTTCCTAGTTGTGAGCAGGTAAGGCTGCCTGCCCCCCCACCTCCCCGATGGGGGTGAGGCCGAGGCTGTCTTTCCTCTAGGTTGTCTCAACTTAATGGCAGAGCCTGGCCAAGGTTGGAGGCCTGGCACCAATCCTTCATTCCCCATCAGGAATGGAGATGATATTGGGATATTTCCTGCCCTGACCATCTCTGGATTTTAAGCGTTTTAAACAGTGCCCTCAATTGTCTTCCATGTTGCTGAGGTAAATGAAATCTTTTAAAATGTTAATATTAAGTAAATAAATAAATCATAGTCTAGCTACTGTTTGGAAAGGCCCTCTGTGCCAGAAGCAGAAATATGCCTGTGTTCCTCAGCCCCTGGGAAGGCTCTCGAGGAGAATCAGTGCAAGCACCCAACCCAGGGCTGGCTTACACCGAAGCTTCTTGTGTGACTCCGGGGTGGCATTGGTAGCTGTTCTGAATACCCTGCAGCCCGATTTCTTGGCTTAGCCCCGGTGGGACCACACTGCTGCCCAGTCCCAGGACAGCACAGTCCTGGCTGCCTGCTGTCTCCTTTGAAAGGGGAGGGGGGTGTTGTTTACTCCTTACTATGCATCAGGGTTCCCCAGCTCTGCTTAAAGCTAAAAAATGAGGCCAGCCCCGGCCTGCCAAACAGACTGCTGACTGGCCTCGCAGCCTTTTGAGGAGCTTGGGAGCCCTGGGCTAACTCTCCCTGCATTCTGAATCCCAGTCCCCTCCCCCCACCCGACTGAAAGCTCCCAGAGCACCCCCCCAGCACCAGGCCCACAAAATCCAGGACTCCTCTAGAATCCATCAGACCCCAAGAGAAGGAAACTGATGGACAACCTGTCTAAAATGAAGACTGCAGGAGGACTAGGTGGCCGGGCAGCCCTCCCTGGCCTCTCCCGCCAGCAAGCAGCCCTGCTTCTCTTTGCATTTTAATGACAAGGGAGCAAGGGAGCCTCTTGCCATTGCCAACTAGAGCCCCTGGATACAATGGGAAGGCAGAGGGAGGGGGGCCAGCTCTTGGCAGAAGAGAGCCAGTCTTCCTTCTCACTGTTCCAAATCCAGTACGTGTCGGGGGAGGGGTAAGCAAGTTTATTCCCAAAGAAGATGTTTTTTTCCCACCAACGCTGTGGAAGCCTCCCAGGCTTTGAGCCATTGCATCAGCCAAAGGGTAGAGAGGGGAGGTCAGTCAAGCCAGCAGCACCCCCCCCGACCCTCATCCCACCCAGAGAGAGCCCTATGCTAGCCAGCCTTCTCCTGCGGATGGTATGTATAGTAACAGCATCTTTTGCACGTGTTCGTCTTCCAAAAGCTTGTGACCCTAACACTCCACTCTTCAGATGATTCCTGGAAAGAGACTCTAGATACCTTGGGGACAAGACCGCAGGAATGACACACTGTCTCGCTACATCCTGAATGATCATCTCCTGTCTGGGGTGATGGGGGGAAGGGGAAGGCTGCTAGTGTCACCCGAGATTCACAAAGCCCATGGGGACCCCGGGTCCAGAAACAGGGCGATCTGCTGCCCAGAGTTCAGAAAGTAGCTTGCAACCCTGTATAGAGTTTTCGATGCACTTTATGGAAGTGGAAGTAGGCTCCCAGGTGGGAAAGGAGGCTGATGAATCAAGGCCATCCTCCCAGGGAGCTTCAGGGAAATGCTAGACTCTCTCTCTCTCTCTCTCTCTCTCACACACACACACACACACACCCCTTCTTCCCAGGGGGTTGGCTGGGCCCCTTCTCCTCACTGCCAAGTTGCAGAGTTGTGTGGTCACCTCCCCCCAGCTTCCCGCCCGCCAGTGCCCTCGGCCCTCGCCTCCCTGAGCCCGGGACAAAGCCCCGGCAGTGACTGAGAGGGGAACAGGAGGAGGGACAAGAGGGATGGGGAGGGCTGCACAAAGGAAAAGGAATTCCTCACGCCAAGCCCCCTGACCGGCAGCAAGTAAAGAAGCAGATCTTCTCTCCCTCCCCCTTCCCACCCCCCCCCCCAGGGCTGGGCACTGGCCATAGAACAGGCTCAAGCCCTTCGGACATAAGCCACGCAGCCTCCTGTAGGTGGCAACAGTGCCACCTGTTTGACCGGTGGGGGCTGAGCCAAGGACTAGAAGAGGGAGGAGGCAGACAAACTCGGGAGAGGAGCTGGGAAGCAGTGCAGTGCAGAGCAGAGCGCAGAGCTGAGCAGAGCTGCCGCTGAGACAAGGTGTGAAGGCTGGGGAAGGCTGGGGGTGACAGGTGGGAACGGGGAAGGGTGTGGAGACTGGCTCCAACCGGGCCCGGGGATGGAGCAGCACCCCTGCTCAGCTCCCCTGATGGGGGTTTTCAGACGGCTCGGATCCTGACCCCAGCCTACAGACAGCTCTTGGAGGGAGGTGGGACTCTGGAAGGCCGTTTCTGGGATACAGGGGCAGGACCTGCAGGCAGGCAGGAAGTGTGGATGGAGCCCAGGGCCCGCTACTAGGAGCCAGTCCCGGGATGGGAAGAAGCAGGGTCCTCCCTTTAGGATGGTTTTTTTTTTCTTTCCCCCTGGGAGGGATCTCAGAGAGAGAGGAGAGTTTTCCTTCCCCCAGCTACAGCCCCCTCACCCCTCCACTCCCTACCCTCATCTTCCTTTCCCAAGGCCTCGGTGGGGTAAGGAGGGCAGTTTCAGGGGCAGCCACACCCTCCCCTCCAAGACTCCACAGCCTTAGGGAGCCCAGATGACAAGGGCTCGTGTCCCTCAGACCACACACACTTTGGGTGTATCCAGGGGCTCCTCTACACACTCGAAGTCTTCTAGAAACCCATTAGCACCGACAGCCGCTAGTGCGTGTGCACATACAAAGGCTGACACAAATCGCACACCCTCTCAGGTAGAAGGACACACACCCAGCCTAGTTCGGGGATCCGTAAGCCTGCTAGGTCTCAGTGTCACCTGAAAGCCCAAGGTTTAACACTCCCCGGCCCCAACACAACCACACCTCCCACCACACATGCACATGCACGCACGCACACACACACACACACACACCTTTGACCGGTATTTGTTGTACTTTCACCCAAGTGAGCTCAGAGGGTGGGGCCCCTAAAAGGGAGAAGGTGGAGACTGGGTTCCTGGCTGGGGTGGGGGGGTGACTGGGCAGGAAGGGACACGACTGGGGTGAAAGGGCTTGGATTTTCCAGGTGTGTGAGGGCAGGAGAAGGGCCCCTTCGGAAGCCTGGGAGGTGACCCAGGAGCCTGTTTCCCTCCAGTCTTCCTCTTACTGACGGTGCCCCCTGCCCCTTGGGAGGTGGAGACTGAGAATCTTTTAGTCAGGGCTTTGTGGTGTGTGCAATCTCTGTATCCATAGCAACTGGCCAACTAGCTGGGCCTTCCTTAGCCCCAGGTCAGAACTAGAACCTCTGCTTCAGGTTACTCTTGGTTCCTGGGGTGGAAGGCTCTCCACCATGGGGCTGCCTGAAGCTTGGCCAGATCTGCCTCAACTTGCCGAACTGAATTTGCCCCACCCTGGGCAATTTCTCCCAGGTCCCCACCCTTGGGCGAGTGCACCATCCCCAGAGCTGGATGGATGCTGTTAAATGGGGAGGAGTTGGGGAGGGTGGGCAAAGAGGCTGGAACTCCTGGGTGTCCCACTGACTTTCCGGGTATCTGGGTTCAAGGGAAAGAAAGACCCCAGAGATTATCCCCCCCGCCCCGGCTCACATCCTTGTCCAATCTGGCACTTCGGGGCAGCCCCATGACCTCCCTCCCGTTGCTGAGCAGCGGCCCAGGCCTCTGCTCCTCCCCCGAAGCTTCTGAGATGCCCTGGGAGGGAGGCTGGGATCCGCCTTCTGCCAGGGTGCCTGGTGGCTGAGTGTCCCTTCTCCCAGGCCCTCACCATGGCCGAGTCCCCCGGCTGCTGCTCCGTCTGGGCCCGCTGCCTCCACTGCCTGTATAGCTGCCACTGGAGGAAATGCCCCAAAGAGAGGATGCAAACCAGCAAGGTGGAGTGGGGATGGGGGGGGACTGGACGTCCAAGGCAGAGGTCGCCTGGAGGGGATAAGGAGGCCACCCGTGCTCAGAGGCAGCTGGGGGGAAGGGGCTTTCTCTCCCCAGGAAGAAAATCTGTCCCTGCCTGCCAGGCAGAGCAGAGCAGCCCAACGCCTGGCAGGAAGCCCCACTGAGCTGCCATCCGTTGGGGACTCGGAGCTGGAAGTGGGGATCGGCTGTGAGCTTCTCTCCTGCCCCTTTGCAGTGCGACTGTATCTGGTTTGGCCTGCTCTTCCTCACCTTTCTCCTCTCCCTGGGCTGGCTGTACATCGGGCTCATCCTTCTCAATGACCTGCACAACTTCAATGAGTGTGTCATGGACCCCCTCCTTCCTCAGCATCCATGTTAATCTCTGCCCCGCCTTGGGACCCCTGGGGGCTCAGTCATCCCCAGCCCTGCCCGGCTGTCCTGCTACCCAACCTCCTTAGAAAATTCCTCCACGGAGTGCCCCCCCCTGCCCCCAGTCCTTGGGACCCCTGGCCCCATGAAGTGTTTCCCCTCACTCCCTTCTGGTCATCCTTCTGGACCCACCCACCCCAACTCCCCTCAGGCCACTATTCACACCCCTGCCCCCACTCAGACATTTTCCTCTCCCTTCCCACAGATTCCTGTTCCACCACTGGGGACACTGGATGGACTGGTCCCTGGCATTTCTGCTGGTCATCTCTCTACTTGTCACATATGCATCCCTGCTATTGGTGGGTCAGGGAGCGGCCCGCCTAACCACCACCCCCCCACCCCGTTAATTCCTCCCTCCCTGCTCAGCGTCGCCCCCTGGCCACTGAGGGGAGGGCAGGAGGGAGGCATCAACCTGGGAAGCGCATCTCAGTGACCCCGCTGGGCACCTCATTACTCCCACCGCCCTCTGCCTCCAGCTCCTGGCCCTGCTCCTGCGGCTCTGTGGTCAGCCTCTGCATCTGCACAGTGTCCACAAGGTACAGTGGGGATGGGAGTGAGCGGGCAGAGGGGGGCCCCTGGGCCAGGTCTTTGCCGAGCACCCCAGTATCCTACGTGCGGACTCAAGCTCAGGACGTAAAGCCCAGTGAATACATGTTGAGTGAGAGAAGGAACGGGGATGAGTCAGGGGGAAAGAAATAGTCCTGTTTTCAGAGAGTGGGGCGGGGGCGGTGGGGGGGTGGCACAGCCCAGGGAGCCACGAGCCCAGGTTGACCAAGAAGGCCCCGTCCGTCCCTGGTCCCCCCAGATGCTGCTGCTGCTCATTATGCTTCTTGTGGCCGCTGGCCTTGTGGGACTGGACGTTCAATGGCAGCAGGAATGGCGTAGCTTACGTCTGTCACTGCAGGTGAGTGACTGATCTCCGGGGACCTAGGTGGGAGCCTTGGCCTGCGTCCAACCCCCTGGTCCCCAGGGCTGCAA